GGAGGCAAAAAATAGACCTGTTTGTCACACCCAGCCAACGGTGAAAAGGCAGGGGAGGATTCTGCCAGAAGGGGTCTGCGCCCGGGAGCTCCGACCGGCCGGGTTCTCTCCCCTTTGCCCGGTACCGAGGGGACGCCGCCACCTCGCCCGCACCCCCTCGCAGCGAGGGCTGCCCCAGGAGAGCCGGGGGACCCCCACCTCGCTTCTGCCCTCGGGAATGGACCGGGAGAGACCCTCCACGCGGAGAGAGGGACATGGTGTGGAGCGGATTCCCGAGGGAAGAGGCCGGGCTCTCCGCTGGCAAAAGGACAAGTCGCCGCCCTGCTGCCCGGAGCTGCTTGCTGGGGACGGCCGCTCCAGCGAAAAGACACTCCAGCTAATTGCAGCTCCTGCTCATTACAGCGCAGGTAATTTTGCCTCTGGCTAGTGCACGCTCCAGACAGCCAACACCCCTTCTCGTTCCAGCTCCTGCTTGCTACAGTTCTGGCTAATTGAAGCACCAGCTCTGCACTGAAGCTCGGGTTGATTTCAGCTGCTTCTCCTTACAAGCTCCAGCTATTTGCAACAGTCTGGGCTTTTGATAAGGTCATAATCAACTGCTGTCAAAACTTGAGCATTAGGATTAAACATAGCTGTATGCTGTATAAATACTCATCGGTTTGTGTGATTAATTACTTAACTATTCTAAGCAGCGCAGAAAGAAGAGCTGGACTCAAAGAGGGCATGTGGGGTCTGAAAAGAACCTTTCCCCCCAGAGACCATCACAGATGTTGAGTTTGGCCTCCTGCGCGCCAGCCTCCCAAACTTCGGGGTCCGACACAACCAGACCCTCACCTCCGGGGAGGGCCCACGCCCGCTGCCCACGCCCTGCTTTCCCCCGCAGCCCCCAACACCTTCCCACCCGCCTGCCTGCCTCTCCCCCACCTGCAAAACCAGCCAAGCCGACTTGTGCTTTTGGCTCCCAGACCAGCTGACTCAGTGCCCATTTATGAGCCAAAAACCCCAGCTGCTAAGCCTGTTCTAAAGTCCCCAAAACGCAGGGCTGGACCTCTGTTTCCGAGCCCCCAAATCAGCCGCATGAGCCTGTTTTCAAGCCCCAGGAACAGAAAACTTGGTCTCCATTTCTGGCCCCCAAGCCAGCTGGCCCCTTTGCAGTCCCCGTGGGCGATGCTGAGGGCTGGGGGGAGTGTAGCCACCCCACAGCCCTGCACTCCTGGGGCCCCACACACAGTTTTGGAGAGTGCTCGGGAACGGCGGAGGGCCCGGCCCCGCGCCTCCGCGGGGCAGCCCCAGCACAGGCAAGGCATCGCTTCATTGCTGCCTTTTCAGGGTTTATTTCCCCAGCGTCACCGGCACCGCCGGGCCCGCACCCCAAACCCCACGGCCGAAGCACCCCCGCGGGGAGCCGGGCCCAGCCACCCTCCAATCCAAGCCGAGCGCAGCCCGGCCCCGCTCCAGGAACCCCCGCCGGCAGCAGCCGGGGCCCTTCCCCACCCCTACG